TCGTTCCGACATTATTTGTTGCGCATTTATTCACTAAATGTATATAACTGTATCAGCCAGAGGATGAAGTTATCGAAAACGAGCTTGTTCACCACTCGTGTTGTTCAGTCGAAGAGTGATATATAACAATTCTCAGCCCATCCATACATCCTTTTGAATCGTTCGTGTGTGTGGTCGGGGGAGCCAACCACTTTGTGTTGACTTTTCACTGGTGGCTGAAAACAAGTCACAGTTGGCCCTCCTTGCAAGACGGACCTAAGGGACGATGAACGCTGCAGGCCTGCGTGATTGGGACCAATGCTGATAATTTTACCGTCCTATTCCAACAAGACCCTCAGAACGGGGTCACACGATCGACGTGACATAACTAAAAAAGCCGGAAGTATAGATCTGAGAATGCGGTGTGCAACGCACACACACAGCGGTCGATTCTGCACAGTTAAATGTTATCCTCCCAACCCCTAGGTTTTATCCTCTTATATAAAGGGTGACGGAATGATTATGAGTTAATGGAAACAAGTGTTCGGCTGAAAATGTGTTGCAAAACGTATTACAGTAAATATTTCCGGAACCACTATTTGAAAGATCAAACCATACTCTGGTCCACTGGTTGTACCATTGAAGAACAGGTTGCAGGAAGCTATGTTAATTGTACATTTGAGAATACTGCGGCTTTGTTACGGTAAGGGACGCTACCTGTAAGCAGTAGATCAGATCGTCTTTGAAAAAGCATCGTGCAGTTGAAATCAGACAACCAACTTTGGAATCGCGCATCAGTGATAACTATTCTCCAATCACTAAAGTGCTAGCTTCGGTCATACTTCGGCGTCTGACGCCTTCAATAGAGACCAACATCCGTAAACAGCGAGCCGGACTCCGGCCTGGCCGTGGATATATTGATCAAATATTTACGTTGCGTCAGATCCTTGAGCTCCATCACATCCACCGTTGGCCAATGATCGCAGTATTCCTTGACCTGAAAGGAGCCTTCGACTCAGTTGACCGCTAAGATCTGATGGGCTCTCTTCTTCGAAAAGGAATGCCCTAGAAGTACGTTAACCTACTGAGGTTACTGTACTCACAGACCTCAGGTCGTGTAAGGGTTTACAATAATTTGAGTAGGCCGTTCGTCACCAGCAGCGGCGTCCGTCAAGGATGCTCGTCTGTTCGAGTGTATGGAGGGCGCGCACAGTGCACTTGATAGAATAACAAGTGCAGTAGTCACATACGGTATGTGCTTTGCACCTTCAAAGTGCAGTGATGCTTCAGGACTGGGTTTCGTCTACTCCCGCTCTGAAACTAAATGGCCAGGATTTNCAGGATTTAGTTGTGGTGGATTACTTTTCCTACTTAGGTGGTTGCGTGACCAATGACAGTAGTGCAGCAAACGAGGTCAACAGGTGACGTGGAGATGACGCATGAAAAAATGCACTGAAACATTAGGTAGAGTAGGCGTCTCTCGCCTTCCAGGTCCGAAAGACTCCACAACTGGTTGGTTGGAGACATTGAAGGATATAGCAGCGAACCGAAGGCAGTGGCTTCGTTTCTTTTCAGGTCAATCCTGGAAACGGTATGTATACAGATGTCGATTGCGTACTCTGTGTGTAGACCATAGAGGTTCACCTTCTTCCTCCTCCCTCGAAATAGGTCCAATCCCTGTCCACCTTAAATGTTACCACTAACCTTGTATGCATTGCGAGTTTGGCAGCGATCACTGAAGTTCGCCTCATTGTAATTCGCTGTACAATAATGATGATGATGATGATGATGATGATGATGATGCTTCTGTAGTCATTACTAGAACAACGTAGTAAATTGGCTCGTTCCTTGAATTTCTTGTCTCCGTACACTGTTTGTCCTTTGAAACCTAATGTTATTTCTCGTAGCTGCTTGTAATATGAAGAAACTATTTTATCAGCATTGAAAATACCACAATCGCCATGTGCAAGGATCGCCTACGGCAAACCCGCTAAACATTCGTCCACCGCGTCACTTAGTACCGTCAAACTTCAGTGGTTTCTTACTTTGTTGGACTGAATTTCACATCTCACTGACTTAGGGTGAAACCAACCTTTTGAGGTCCTGAAATCAACATGGTGCATTGTTTGCTAGCAAAATCATCTTTTAGACGATGCTGTCCGCCATTGGGAATTCCCCATTCATTTCCCTCAGTGGTAAGCCATGCCCATGTCGCATCACTAACTGCCTTGAACATAGCACTGGTTTTCAGGCGGCATGTTTCCTGAAATGGACTGTAGTTAACCAAATCTGCGATAACCGTTCGCTTGGATATGGCACTTTTACCATTTTTCTTTTGAGTATCAAGTGCTTTTGCTGCACAGCCCTGGGTCGCACCTGGCTCTTTCAGCATTTTCACCGTATTCTGCTCCTCTTTAATAGACAGGCACTTGCACATTGTCACGTCTTGGATAGCTGACATCTGTCTGCCTTCCTCACAAGGGTTAACCAATAAGTGGACAGCCTCATGCGTGCGTCACACTAGACTGGTTAATTAGCTGAATCCGCCATTGCAGAGTGTTTGGTCAGTGGTCAGCCCATACATTGGATTTCACGTTTCGTTTTCTTGAATCAGCAGTGGTCTTCGATTCTCATTTTAGGCTTCACACCATTTCTTCCTATCAAGGAATAGATCTAAATACCCAATGTCGTTGCGATTATTTTGATTTTTCGATCACCATCATATATTCTGCATTTGCCTTCCTTCATATATGTATATATTATTCTCTGTTATGATGAGTGTCATTGTTGCTTGTTGGTTGGTTGGTTAAAGACGATTTTCAATAATGAAAATTGTGAAATTTCAGCATTATATTCGGGTAGTTCTCCTTCCCAGCTGTCCGCCCCAGGTCTGGTGACACTGTAGTGCCTCAGTAGGTTATAGGGACTGAAAACTGTCAAACAGTGAAACACAACAAGAAAAATAAGTCACAGAACAAGAGAGAATTAACGCGCGATACTGTAGAATTTTCCTCGGGGGTTAATCGCCAACCATGTACACAGTCAACTTTTCCGAGTATCCATCGTGATACAAGTTAGTTTTGTGATAGGATGATTGCTAGTCAAAATGGACGGAGAATTTTTAGTCCATTTATAACCAATCACAACTGTTTACGCAGTGGAAAACACAACGCACGCAGTTCACAAGCGATTCGGTGTAATTTTGTCCTTTGTCTTGTTGAAAAACAAACGTTATAAGCAGAAGTGTTACAGGAACATAGAAAAATACCACAATACGTTCACTGTCTGAGGCAACCAATCATAATGGCCCAGAATTTGAATGATCTTGCTAATCGATACAGGCACATACACACACAGTGGTCATTCTTCTGTTGCATATTGGGTCCATGCCGAAGAGCATCAAAATTCAGGCTCAGTAGTGGAGCAGTCAAGTTATAAGGAATTTGCCAGGGCAATGAATGATACTGCTGATAAAATACCGTCCTATTCATCCTGCTATGCTGGAAGACATGCAGCTCAATCCCTAATAAGCAAATATACCGGTTACGCCACCAGTGCAACAGGTATATCCTGTGAGCTTGTTAACCGAAATGACCCACCAATCGAATGCAACATTGGATGTAATGTTTCTAATTTGACTGGAAGAAAGCTGGCTCCATTAAATTGTGGTCCGTTGGGTGAAACACTTAATGATCAAGCAACAAAGCATCGCCTGAGAGCCGAGCTTCCTCATTTGACTCGGAGAGATATAAGCAAGTGAGTAATTCATTCTATTTACTTTAATCGCATTGTTAGAAAAACTGAGTTGACTGCAGCGTTCCTAGTTCCGGTTATAAGCTAAAGAAATGACTTATATTATCAACTTCATTTGGAGGTTTTCAGATGACATATGGCTGATGTTAGCTAAATCCTATTAGGCATATTTAAACCGAGTGTTTTATTCCCATCAACAATCTACCCCCATTCCAGTGAATGATTGTATATGAACGCTTATAATTCGTTGAGGTTGTTCTACAGCCCAGCGCAAAAACTACTGCCACATGTTGAGTGTAGTTTCTTTTTGTGAGATTTCTACGATGGACATTTTGGAAGTATCGTAAATAGATGATCACACCCAAATTTCGTCTTAGTAACAAGACTGGAAACCCTAAATTGGAAACATAGTTCCAATGAATAGTTCCGTTTGTACAACCGTTGGGTTGTTTGCTTTTGTGGGCGAGTTTTCGTAACCGTCTTTGGTGGAACAACAATGAAGAAGTTCATTGAAGTTAGTAAAGGCTGAAGACAGTTTTCACATAGATCCTTTGATAGTTTTAAAAAGGTGACCTCTACCTAAGTCGAACACTAAGAATTCTGTTGTGAAACAGGATACTCAATTAACATTCTGTTTCTCGTGCATTACTTATACAATGTCCCTTTGTAAGTTTGAAAACATTCTTAAGTAGTAGAATGAAAACCCTAGTGTTTGGCGTTCATTCCAGTATATTTTATTTGTAGACAACTAGATTATCCAAGTAAACTCATTTACTTTCAGTGTACAAGGTGCACAAAGAAAACAACTATTTTGAATGCATTTTTGAAATTTAATTATATTATATTATATTTTCACACGCGTTTGAATCCAGACTGTGTGCCAAACAAATCATGGTACAATGATCTTTATGGAAAGGAAAAACGTCCTTCGATTTGCATTTGGGCGGAATACTGCCAGGTTTCCCAGGCCAAGGCAGGGGAATGGCCTTGGGGAGTCCACAACCGGAGTCTTTGGCTAGCCAAAGCGTGACCCGCAAGGCAGCGGGGCGGTGTGCTAAAACCGCAGTCCACTGGGGGCCGGTGTCCGGTTCATCAAATCATACGCCCTTTGGACGGGGTCAAACATCCAAGGTGCCCAATATACCTCGATTCCCAATCGGGCCGGTGACCACTGCCACAACCAGGACGTTGTGTATGTGGTTCGTACGCCTCTTCATGTTTGGTATGGGATCAGGGTTTTTGGCCAACTCTCTTAGGTGAACTACCAGTGGTCCACCAACCCGGGGATGGCCCCGAATGTCGGCTTTTCGTCCTCTCACTTTCGTGGGAAAACTACTCCGCCATGAGAAGTCAGTGATTAGGGCTTCCTCAGCAGAGACCATTCGAGAAGCTTGGTCGTATGGGAACATCTCGTGAGGTGCAACGGGGAAGGGTGGCTAGCCGCAACCCTGGACACCCACCCCCGACAATACTGAGGCTTTGAAATTCGATACATATGTGGATACGTGTACAATATACCTACTCCACCCCATTGCCTTGTGGCTTAGGTTCTTTAATCAAAGGCTCCAGGTAGGGTCTCCCAAGAAAACCTTCTACTTCGGCTTGGGTAACCGGACGGTACCATGCCCACAATACTCGATGACAACGCAGTTGAAGTTACTCGCTATGGTATGTCCGTTGCACCCTCAACGTGCAATGTGTGATTGCAAGATTGGCACTGCACGTTCATTAGGTAATGACACTTTGGAAGTTATCGAAAGCTTTCTATACCTCGGGAGTTGCATAACGGCTATGGGAGGTGTGGGCGAGGAGATTTTTCAACGCGTGGTCAAAGCTGGATTAGCGTTTGCTAATCTGCGGTATCTCTGGCGCTGGCGCGATGGACCCCTTTCACTGAAATGATGTGTGTACTGTTCAACCGCATGCATCGTGTTACTCTATGGTTGCGAAACCTGGCCCCTGCGAGTAGGTCTGTTTTCAACAACCGCTGTCTGCGCCACATCGCCGCGTCATCGTGTATGGTGAGAGCATTGCGTGAATAACGATGCGGTCCGGCGAGGTGTGCTAGTATCACTTTGTCCTCCGTTGAGCAAAAATAACTTTCCTGCATCTAAGGCGGCTAAGACACGCCCTACGAATGCTT